TTTTTTTTACCTTCCTTCTTTCCCCTAACTTTTAAACAGTAGAATATATTTACATTTCTTTGGATAATATAAATAATTTAAACTTTGCTCTTCAATTTTTCAGGACCCAGATGTTGGCAAAGGGAGTGGTAAGATGCTTTAGTTTTGTTATGTATAGCTTTTTATGATTCAAGCTTTTTGTTTTTGTTTTATATATTTTTTCCCCTCCTGAATTGATATATATAAAGAAATGCATGTGACCCATGGCGTACAAGTTGATATCCAGAGGCTGTATTTATCTTGTGATGTGTGTCTAGCTGGTTTATCACAGTCTGCAGCTGGTGGCGTTTGCAGTACTGGCTGTGCTCATCATGAGACTGAAGCTCTTCCTCACTCCTCACATGTGCATCATGTCCTGTTTGATCTGCTCCAGACAGGTGACTGACCATTCACGCTCTATCACTCACCCCTAAATCTCCATATTACAAGGAAGCTGATTTGAGGAAAAGCTTTTAAATGAAATTAATATGTTTTGATTTCATCTGCAGCTGTTCGGCTGGGTAGGAGAGAAGTTTAAACTCCAGTTGACAGTCGTGGGAATATTGTCCATCATGGCAGTCCAAGGAGTCGCCAACCTGCAGAGTCAATGGGACATCATAGGAGAATTCAGTAACTTCCCTCAGGAAGAGCTCCTGGAGTGGATCAAGGACAATACAAGGCCTAGTGAGAAGCTTATTGCTGTTCAACTGCACAAAATGGAAACATCTCACTTCATGTGACCAGTGTCTGACTCCTGCATCCATGCAATATTCCTGTAGATGCTGTGTTTGCTGGTGCAATGCCCACCATGGCGAGTGTGAAACTGTCCACAGGAAGAGCCATAGTGAACCACCCGCACTATGAAGACGCAGGATTGAGGTAGACACGATTTAACATACATTTTGTAGGTACTTATCCTAATATTTAATCCTTTAATAATGTTCTGTTATTGTAAAGAGTTTGATTTCATTTTGTCCTTATTCAGAGAAAGAACAAAGATGGTATATGCCATGTACAGCCGAAAGCCAGCTGAGGTAGTGAAGCGAAACTTAATAAAGCTGCAGGTGGACTATTTCATCTTAGAGGACTCGTGGTGCACCAGACGCTCCAAGTAAGTGCCGCATACTTTGAATTAATACCGCTGTATGATAATTTCTTTGATCTCACATGTGTTTCTTCTTCATCTCCAGGCCCGGTTGCAGCATGCCTGAGATCTGGGACGTGGAGGATGCCCAGAATGCAGGAAAAGTGCCACTTTGCACTGTCATGTGGCGGGATTCACGTCCTCACTTCTCCACTATCTTTCACAACAACATTTACAAAGTCCTTCGAGTTCCCAAAACAGTGAGAGATATGAGATAACAGCAGTTTTTCCATCGCCTTACTGTTTTCCTGTCTTTGATGTGTGTGTGTGTGTGTATATACACAGCAATGATTATTTTTTGTGAAGGTCAGATGTGTTTTTCTTGAGCCTTGCTTCTGCCACTTTGGTGTCCGTTTTGTTTTGATAAGCTGTAAGAGATGTTTAAACCACAGTGAGAGTCAATCAGTATTGAATCACCCCTTTTCACTTAAAGGAATAGTTCACCTAAAAATGAAATTGGCTGAAAATGTACTTACCTTCAGGTCATCCCAAGATGTAGATGAGTTTGTTTCTTCATCAGAACAGATTTGTCCAAACGCATGCTCATTCTGATGGCACCCATTCACTCACTGCAGAGGATCCATTGGTGAGCAAGTGATGTAATGCTAAATTTCTCTGAATCTGTTCTGATGAAGAAAAACTCAACTTCATCTTGGTTGGCCTGAATCAATTTGCAGCAAATTTCCATTTTTGATGTACTATTCCTTTAACCATCTGCTCTCATGCTTGTTGAAATGTCTTTTATTAGGATGACTGTGATTTTTGCCATCGATGGTGCTGCTGTTTGCCGGTTGAGTTTGGTCCAGACAATTGTTTACTTAAATCATTTCATTTTTTTGTTGCAAAAAATATTTTATTCAATCTCTTTTCAACCTGTGAAGTATTGTAAAACACTTTTCGTGTATAGTTTTAACATTTACATTTATTTTGGGCAGATGCTCTTACCAAAGTGACCTACAAAAAAGTTATATATATATATATACATATACACACGTATATAGTTTGTGGGAGGATTATGATAGTCTATAGTGTTATTTTTTTTAAATCTGCAAACTCAATTTAATTAGTCAATGGTTGTAGATAAACTGCTTGTTACTCTTTTTGTGTGTGGAAATCATGATCAGTGTTATGTATTAGAGATTTTTTTCTTTTTTATCCTTTAAATGTCTTGCTCAGTTGTATTTTAATTTGGATCATGTCTGTTTCTGTACTGAGGTTTACCAGTGCTAGCAAGTCTTGTGCTCATTTCTCAAGAGTCAGGAAATAGAAACAGAAAAGTTTTTGCCCCAGTTCCTTACCTGACGTCATGTAATAATAATAGTCCTTTTAAAAACCAAGCTGAAGGACTGTAATCACTGCCAAAGTATTATTAAAGATATCAATTTGTTCTATGTGTTCTGTTGTAATTTAGAAATGTCCTTTACATTTCATTTTGCATGCATGATAAAGAACTTAACTTTCATTTTGTTTATCACAGAACATTTATTTCACCAATTAAATGCTATTTAAATCATTCATTAGATCTTTTTGTTTTTGAGTATAATGTTGATGTTGATATTAATGCATCATGTACGTTTTCATCAAATCAACTGGACAAAGTGGTCAGACTATTTTGCTGGTGAAGAAATCTGTTCTTTTTTGTTTGTAAATTACTAAGAATATAGATAATTTAAATTTTCTTTGAATCGTCCCCATTCACGCTCAAAAAAATATTATTTGGCTAGTGTTAAAGTGTGCCTTGAAAGTTTATTTAAAAATTATGATTGAAACAACCACTTTAAAGCTACACTCTGTAACATCTGGCCCTCTAGCGGTTAAAAAAAAAAATCAAACTGCACGCGTCTTGCGGCAGATGAGTGCTGCGGTTGCGCTTCTGCTCTTTTTTCGTGTATGTGGTTCGACTTCGAGGCACCGGTGAACGCATGGCTACAGGAAATGAGTGTACATCTTATCAGAGCAGGTTTAAAACAAAAAAGAACAAGCGGGGATTTATTTTGAATGTTGCCGTTTTTAATGATCTATGGTCGATTTTTCTCGTTCGTTGCGACTGTTTCAGATTCATGTAACCCGCAGCGGAACTACGTCTGTTTACGGACATGACTCATGCATGCAATTTCCCGCGAAATCCGTCCCGACAGCTCTAAAATAAACCTATAATTATTATTTATAGGTTATGAAAGTGTATGGGGGTAAAATAAAGACGCAGTTTGGAAGACTACAATAATATATATTTTAAGTTACAGAGTAAGTGTAGCATTAAGATTATTCAGGAAAAAATCCCACACAATAAAAACCAACACAAAAGGTAAAGTCATCAGACACATTTCCTTTTTTTTTCCCTTTAATAAACAACTTCAACATTACAAAAGACAGCTCTCGCCCCTGTGTGTATATATTGTACAAATTCAAAATTTTGTATTTAATGTCCTACATTTTCTTAAATATTGATTTGGCCAGTTCAAACGGGAAACATCTGTCTGAACTGGGCAGAATTCTGTAAAAGTACATGTTTAATACATTGTGCAGACAGAAGCTCAGAACACCACGGCAGCAATACTTGTTCAGAGTCTTACTGTGAGGCTAAAGGAAGATACTAACTGCATATGACTGAAAACCTTCTTCAGGATATTCAATTTTATTCCCACCCACAGACTCCAGCATTTATTGATCATATTTAACAAGCAATTTGCTGCAAGAATAAAAGTGTACAGAATGAACCTACTGAATTACAAATCAAAGAGTGCTTTCACGTACAGTATAGCAGTCAGAGGTATTTCATTTTCACTGTGGGATCTATGAAGTGCTGTGTGAGTATGAGGACAGTAAGCTTGTGTACTACTGCATGTATATCACAAATCAAATGAGCTATACAGACTTAAAAAAATTTTTTTAAAAAAAAGCACATTTTTTTGCCCTTGCAATTCAGAGTTTACAACTCACAATTCTTCCCCCCCCCAAAATTGTAAAATAAAAAGTCACAATTACCTTTTTTTTTAATCCCGATATGGAAATAAGCTTCCACACAGTATAAACCAGTTCAAAAGAAGTATATATATATATATATATATATATGTAAAAAGTTGACAATTGCTCTGGAGTATTATAAAAATTGCAAAAAAAGGTCAACATCTGTAGCCTTTAAAATGTTTTTGGCATGAACAAAATGGCATAAAAAGACAACTTTTTTGTCCAGTGTAAAATTAAAAGGTCAGGCCTACAGCCGCGATGGCAAGCCTACCTAAAGTGCACATTAACACCAGTAACAGAAGAGGAAAGAAATGACAGGCCAACAACACTGCAGCAGTCCTTCTGCCCCATCATGCCTCTGCATCGCCTACTTAACCATTAAATCACCGTTAATAAATTAGTTGATTAACACATTGTAAAAATTATAAGTACTAACAATACAAAATTCTATTTTATAACACTAAAAAAGAGAAACAATATAAACACATGAAAAAAATGTGAGGGAAAACTTTAACACAATCTGGAGCAATTTACATTACTCAAGTTTGAATTCTCTGACCTGCTATTTACTTTCAGAGTGACTGCAAGAACTGATCTCACTTTGTGCTATCCGACTGTTCTAATATAGTATTTGTACATAAATCAAGTAATCTGTCAGACCGTCAATGGGAATGACATTGTTACAACTGAAGTACAATAATAATAATTTACTTTGTATTTTTATTCATATTTAAATGTCCTTCATGTGACATTTTGAAGTGTTCGCTTTGCACACTCTTTTTCCAGTAGTTTGGAAGGTCAGTCATGCAGCCTAATGTCACCAACTTTGGTCTCAATGAGGCATTTACTCATATATGCATTTATTTATAAAAAATAAAAATAAAAAAAAAAGCACTGCAACAAACAGCATTTTAATGTACTTAAAGAAAAACATCCAGGGTGATGATCTGAAAACTGGTACCGTGAGAAACAGGATTTTGGCATGTAAAACTAATTCTAAAAGACTTCGTCTTCACATCTATCTTGAAAAAAATTAAATGACAAAATGAAGTAAAAATATGAAACCTACTGGTCTGAGCTCTTCATAACATTCCCTACAGTATATGTCTGAAATCATGGTGCTTTATTCATATTAAAAACAAAATGTACAAAATAAAAAGGTTTGTTGGTTTGATTAAAAATAGAAACAGAGATAAATATACCTGGAAGTCATTTCTCAGCCCTCTATCGGGCATCTCTACCTTTGGCTTGACTTAGGCAAGTTGGCAGGGCACACAGAACAGAGCAACACCATTCCAGACTAGAGGACTCTGGGAAGGGCCCTGCACGTGTCCACAGTGAGCTCTCAAAGTCTCAAAATCATAATGACGTCTCTGTATCCACACATTTATCCCCCTGCTCGTCTTCCGCATTGATCTTAATACTAACCGTCTTCTCTTCACTGTAAAACAAAGACAAAAGATTAAGGAAAAATTTACTCAAAGCAGACACCCAGCAACATTTTTCTAAATGTTAATATCGCCATACTTGCAACACACAGTATCACATTCAATGAAGCGCAAACAACATGTCATACATAAGGAAATATTCAAAAGCAAATCCAGCACACACTTTTCACAGGCATTGGTTATAAACAATGGATAGAGGCCTGGTCACATGACGATAAATATAAATAAAAATAAGCAAACTAATACCTTTTATAAAATATAATTTTTTATTTAAAATATACTTTTATAAAATAAATAAACAATATTATAATTTTTT